CTCCTAAATCACTCGTACGCACAATTTAAGAACAAATCTGTGCGTACCAACGGTTCTTGCATGAGGCCCATTGTTTTTAGAAGAAAGTGCATAAAGCAAAGGAGGCTGATACATCAGAGAACTAACTTCTATAAGTTCTTCTTCTTCTGGTTTTATTGGTTGTTGGCAGACCAATATAAGTGCATTACTGCCACCACTAAACTGGAAGGTGCTCAGTGGACATTGCCATATTTCTGCCTGTTAATTCAAAACGACACACACAGTGATGAATTGTGGGTAAAACATTTTGCCGAAGTCCATAAAAATGCGGACTTCGCAGAAAGGCGGAAATAGTACTCAAAATGGGCGGGGCAAAGGGTGGATGTGTAGAATGTGGGACACACTGAAACCCTTCCAACATGAACGCACATTTGAAGTGCAYAAGGATGGAACGAGGGTGGGTATTGGGACAGGGCCGTAGAGAAGTGATTCTTGCTGGAGGCGTGGCCTCTGTTGAAGTTTAAAATGATTGGATTGGTTGATCGCAACGTATGTGTCTGCCAGCTTCACTGTGAATGAGGCAAGGTCATAATAGTTTAGGATTTTTCATTATAGTTTAGTTTTATTTTGTTGTGACATTTTTTTCTTTTAATTTAGTTAGTTTTAATTAGTTTTTACAGTGGACTTGCTAGTTTTTTGTTAGTTATTGTTTGTTTAATGCTTAGTTTTAGTTTAGTCTAGTTTTTATTAATTCTAGTATTAGTTTTTTATAGTTTGAATAAACATATTTGCTAATGCATCCTCAAACTTGTGATGTTCCTGTGAGTTAACTAACCAACAGCTATTTGGTCACTAGTTACATCAGTCCATTATAGCAACACCTTTCTAAAATAATTGTGTAACTCAATATTAACTAAGGACTTGGGAGATTATTTTAGGATGATGACAATAGTTGTCTCCAACTCGGTGCTACATGTTTTTTTTTTTTTCATGGAGCTACTGAGAGAAGTTAGTGTGTCAAGATAGTCATAGTTAGCGTCTTGTGTGAGTTTGATTCATGCAGTTTTTCCCTTGAGAAGTTTTCCACCTGTTTTATCACCTGTTTCCACTACAAGACTCTTGCTTTGATTTTTTTGCAGTCATATTTAAAGAARTCYCAAAGTGGACGTTGTTGATTTCTCCCAACTTTTACTGTCATCATTTAGCAGAAGATGCTGAGCAGCAGCAGATTGTAAACAAGTGTTGTTACAGACCACAGCTAACGTGAAACTACTCTAATTGAAAAAACTTTTAAAAAGATCCACATCTCAAAATAAATTGAAAAACATTAAAACTAAGGATATTCTTTCTATAATATCAGTTAGAGTTAGTTTTATAAAAAGATTAAACAGTTTTAGTTATCATTTTTAGTTTTTGTTTATTTCAGTTTTCATTATTTAGTTAGTTTTAGTTAGTTTTATAAAAAGATTAAACAGTTTTAGTTATCATTTTTAGTTTTTGTTTATTTCAGTTTTCATTATTTAGTTAGTTTTAGTTAACTAGAAT